CCCGTCAGATTATATCTTCTTTCGCATTGTCCGTTTCTATAGTGATTTCATATTTTATCAACAATATATAAATTTCGAATTCTATTCTCACATTTATAAATTGAAAATATCAGCAATATACGCGATTCTTCGTATTGTAAAACATATTATCCAACATGGATCAACATATTTTATGGTTTGAGGAATGTACAAATAAAAATCACTAAACATACTGTTTTTTTTCCTTCTAATCAATTATGTTAAAATTTATTTTAGTTGCTGAAGAAGGATCTGCCATTCTTGAAGAGTTCACAAACGAAGAACTAGATATAATTCAACAAAGTTAGAATGATCAAGGAATAGTTTTGGCATATTAGTTCTGTTGACACTTTTGAATTTTATTCTTTTCAGTATTTCAACAAAATCAATATCCTGATAATGCTGTAAATATACTTCTTGCTAATCAATTTAATACTGATCCAATACATATTCTTGTAAGATTTTCATTTTATTCATAGTTTGTATTTCTAACTATATTCTATGTTAATTTTATAAAAATTAGTTATGCTTTGAGTATTATCGTTTAAAAGTTCATGTTGATAATTATCGACGTCACTATTTACCAACCGTTACTGCTTGAAAGAAAAAAAGAAAATCTATGAATTGTTTAAAGAATTTGTTATTGTCTCCCTGTTTTGTGTTTTTTTTTTGATTGAATAAAAGTAAATGGAAACATTTCTATAGAGATTCTTTCATTTAGTTATGTCTTATTAACCAACAGAGATGAACGTAACATCCTAAACTAACTAATTTCAAGTCTATTTCATTGATCGACTAGGAAATTACTATGATTTCAATTGAGTAAATTACGTACAAATGAAACAAGGGTGGGGTGTGGGTGATGGGAGTTCGACACCCACACCCTTGACGACTATGGCAAATCAATACATGACTATCCATCATCCTTGGCGTCTTAAATACGCCTGTTGTTCTTGGTTGCTATGAACAATGAGAGGAAGCCACAAAAATTCGACTCAAAACTTATATTCACTATATTTTTCTTTGAAAAACATGTGAGTTCTATTACACGTGCCCGTTATATGATTATAGAATTGATTTCGGGTCCGAAAATATCAGAACAGTTGATTAGATCAATACAAAGTACATACATTTCTTACATTTAATTGAATTTCTAATTGTTTACAACAAACTTCAATCATGAAAGATTTGATATTCGAAATTCTAAAAAAAGGATAATTTTATTTTATAGATTTTACACAAACAGTTTGTTGAATATTTCTTGATTTCTACTATGCGTTTTAAAATAGAAAGTGGGGTGAGACGATAAGTTGGATAATTTGCGAACGATAGGAAATATTGTAAATTGGTTTCGATCTAATTTTAGCTAAGTTTGTGGCATATCGATCTACAACAGACAAGTTTTCTGAAATCGGATTAGTAAAGAA